CAAAATTAAAGGCATAATTGCAGGTGAAACCATAACATTGAGATGATTTGCTGATACTGTAACCTCTCCAGGAGTAAAAAATGCAGTAGAAAAATAGTCAAGTATTTTATTTGCCTTTCATTATACTATTATGGGCAGAGATAGTATTAAATATTCCACTACACAACTCAAAACAGCTGCAAGAATGAATTAAAGTAGATATTGTACTTTTACCAGCAACTAGAATGCTTTTAAGAGGTATATCTGGTTAAAAAGTGCAGACTGGATGGCTCTTTTTGTTCTTTTGTAATTTTCACATAATTTAAGCTGATAAGCACCCTGACTCTTCCATACCTTAGGGGTGGAAATTTTGGGTCATAATCATTCTGAGAGTTCCTGGGGCAATGCAGAGGCCAAGATGTGTCAGCTTGCAGGGGCAGGACATTGCTGCATGGGAGAATCTGGAGGAAGGCAGTAATTTGAATGGATGGGAGTTCACATGGAGACTCCCACTGAATCTATTTCATCCAGGAAATCCAGGAGTGCAAACCATAAGTTGTGACTCTATAAGCCAGTCTGGGAAAGAAACATCCTGTTTAATAGCAAAGGATAAATTTCAGCTCAGTTTTCTTAGCATTGCCTTTTCTCTTTCTCTTTTCTGCTTTCCAGATGTCCTGCAGAGTGCCCCCTCATTTCTTTCTGGAAGAGCTGTGCAGCACTAACAAAATCAAGATACAAGTCTCATTTCTGTATCTGACTCCTCACATTCCTTGGGCCAAATTTGGATCTCATTTCCTTTTTAAGGCTGTGCTGGTGTGTTTTTCTGCAGACCACTGGCTGCCTGAGGACCAGGAGCAGTACATGTACATGCTTATATCAATACATATACACATATACAGATATACAGATATATAGATATACATATATACATATATACATATACACATATACACATATACACATATACACATATACACATATACATATATAAAAAGTGTCAGGTTCTCTGATCTTGAAGAAACTGCACAAATAGCCCAGAAATTTCACAGGAAAATGACTTCTTAGTGTACTGGAAGCACCAAACTGGAGGTGTTTGCAGCTATTTTTCTTCTCAGTCTAATTTCTAATTTTGTTTACTTTCTTGATATGTCCACTGACATCTGAGGAGGAAAGATTGCTGACTGCAGAAACATCTCCCTTTGGCAGCATCATCCCTGTAATTTGTGCTGACCATATGAATATCTAGGTGGCTAATACAGGAAGGGAAGGTTTTATTTTTCAAAGTGAGAAAAAAAAAGATTTCTCTGCATCGTGCTGGGTGAGAATATGGGGTCCCCTTGAACAATTCAGTTAGGAAAGAAATTGGAGTTCAAATGAAAATTTTAGTTACTCCAGTTTAGATGTGAAATTATTTCATTGAAGTAAGTGAAATTATTTTTGTGTTACCTTGAGCTAAATGCTCAGAATTCAGTCACACTGCACCATTATACATTTTTCCCCTATTAAAAAGGCAGAATATCACAACTTACTTTTTATGGTGAAGGAGGCCTTAGGACCACATCTGAAGTGGAAGTTTTAGCTCCTGTGTCACACAATTTCCAGACCAGTATCACAGATGAGCACTGCAGCCTGCCTACCTCGAGCAGTAATTATTTTCCTGGCTGGCTTGGGGTATATTTCATTTAAAAGAAGATCTTTTCAATATAAATTTGGAAATACACACATATGTGCATACCTATACGTGTTTATATCGTGGCAATGAGGAAAAACAGGTAGAAATACAGACATTTGTGGGTTCCTCTTGTAAGGGCAAGAATGAGGATAAAAACAAGTGTTAAAAAATCTCAACTCCCAAGATCATCAAGTTTCAGTGTGTGAATTAGTCAACCTGAAGTCAACCCAATTGCTCTCTCTCCCGTGTTGATTCTAATTCTTTCTGGATATTTTTATTCATTTCCTTGAGCTTCCCTCAGGCTGATTTCTGAGTTTTTAAGTTAATTTTTAAGTTTGGGGTTGTTTGTTTTGGAAACTTCTGAATATTTGTAGTTTCCATAGAGCAGCTATCCTGTATTAATGGGCTTAGCCCACAGCTCTCTATTTCATACTAAATGAATGAAAAATAAAAATAGATTAACCACTCATAATAACTCCTAAATTATGTGAATTATATTTTGAGGTAAAAATAGAAAGGCTTTTAAATTCAGAACTAAGGAAACCTCTCTGTGTATTCATAATGGCTGAAATAAAATTATTGTCTTGGGTTTGGGTTTTTACTACTGCTAAAACATTTTAAGAAAAAATAAGTAAAATAACCCAGTGTACCATTTCAAATCTTGGTGATTTTTACAGGAGATCGCTGGTTATCATGAATAAATTTGATGTAAATCTAAATGTCCATTGCATTGTGGACTAAATTAGATATTTATTGACTTGTCTAGTTAGACTATTCTGATTTGGAGTTTATTCTAAAATCATTACAAACAGAAAGAGAGGTAAAAGAAAATATCCTGAAATCTCTGCTTAACAAACAGGATGATCTAAAGAGGAAAGGGGAACAAGAGAAGGATGGAGCTGATTTAAACCCCATTGTCCTAACAGTCAGCTTTGAAAAAGTTCAAAGAAACATAAAATCTTTCCAGTGAGAGCTCTAAAGAGAAAGGGAATAAAAATGATGACTTTAAAACTGTGAGCATATTCACTTATGGCTCTGTTACTCCATCAAGACACCCACAGCTCCCCTCCATGCCAAGCTCAGCAGCTCAGGAGCATCAGCAGACTGACAAGGCAAACTAACAGCATTTTATGTAGGGAGCTATATTCGATACTGCTCAGTAGAGTCTTATACTTCTATAAAACTAAAGATGTGTCTTCTCAAAATTACCAGTACCAAACCTATTTTCTTTATTTCCACACACTTATCCTGTCCAGGAATATAATAAAAATATTTGCAATGATTATGGGTCCCTTTTTCCTACTTCTAAATTTAACATTGTCCTAAGCAATAATATTTTTAGTTTTGGTCCTGCTCTGAAATTCAGACTTACATGAATTTAGTATTGCTATGAATGAACAACATCTGTAAGGATCATGAGGCTATGAATGGACATCTGTAAGCAGCAAGACCTTGCATAAATTTAAAATAAATCAATAAAATTGAATCCATGCTAATGATTAATTTGCAAACATTTTCAGATTCTTGTAATGGGCAGAAGACAGAGGTGTAAGTTGAAGCATGACTGCATATCACTGGCACAATATTATCTCATTCCTTTAAACGAATTTGAGCTACATGAATCAACATGAGATTGGATCAGAAATGGGATGGAACCAATTTTCTTGCAGAATGATCTCTTGCAATACATTCCTGCTGGCAACTTTCGGGTGAGTTCTTTTTGTGATGATGCACACAGTTTAATCTCTCACCTTGAAGTTAATTTTATCCTGCAGTAGGCAGAACAGCCATTATGTAGGAGCAGGATGAATTTCAGAGAAGTTGGTTTCACATGCAAACACACGAGACCTGGGAGCCCTTGTGTGCTGCTGGGGTGCCAAGGCCTGTCTGCCTGAGATGGTGAGGGAGGATGGCTCAGCAGCAGGTCTGTGGAAATGCAAACACATCTCACCAAACAGCCACAAGACACCTCAATCTAGATTTAAAATACGGTCAGGAATAGCAGAACACAAAGATGTGGGAGCTAGGAACTTGGACTAAAAGTTGAATGCCTCAGAAGTATGAAGCACTCTAAGGAGATGTGAACTCCTCTATTCTTGGGCCTCTGGGTGCCAGGCTGGAGGGACACCTTCCAGTTTTCCCATTTCTACTTGCCAGAGGACCAGAAGTGGGGAGGAGCAGGATTTTCTGGGTTTAAGAATTTAGGACTCTTGGTTGGTAAGAAAGGAGCTCTAGCTCTCAGTGGTGCTCCCTTTATACTATAAATAGTTATCAGATACATGGAGATAACTCTGATTAACAGAGCATTATCAGACATAAAACAGAGGACACAACCATTACAGGGAAAAAAAATTAAAAAGACATAATTTTGAGATGTTTGAGAAGCTTGTTTTCTTCACAAAGAGATGGGTACTGTAAGGTAAGTCTATTACTTCTGCATGAATGGCATCACTGATACCTGAAAATATTCTGCAGCACAGAACAAACTGGATAAAAGTCTGAGAAATTCTGGTTTGGACTAATAGTGTTATTTTTTCCCCCCCTCCTCTTTTTCAATAACTTTTTTGTAGGAACAGGGAACCTTTAGGGGAGAAGTGATATAGGGCAACAAAGTGGCCATTTTTTCTGCAATAATCTGCTTTTATCAATATACTTCTGATTCATTATGTTTACATTGACCACAACCCAGTTTTAGACCGAATAATTCTTGGTTCATCAAATCAAAAGAAACCTACCAAGGCAGTTTGGACATATATCCTGATGCCCCCCAATACTGGGGTGTGGATTAAAGACTTTTTTTCAGGATTGAATCTTTGGCTTGAGCCATCCCATTAAGAATGGGATGTCCTTGGCATTCCTGAATGCAAACTGGTATTAATATTTAGGTGCTTACTGACTGATGTTCCCCACCCAGAGCCTTTAGGGAGCTTATTGCTCTTCCTGATACAGGACTGGTGCAATATTGGCTTGCTGCCAAGCTTAGGGCACTATTAAAAGTACATTTCAAAGTTTACACTTCAAGTGCTCTTTTATGCAACTTGAGATTTTTTGGCTGAAATGCTGTAATGCCAGAGAAACATCTAAAAATAATACTTCATAATTGCAACATATAAATCTTACATAACGCTGCCTTTCAGCTGAGACAGGTTCATTTGCAACAGGAAAGCAAAGCCCTTGGTGCTGCTGGCTAAAACAGAGATTCAGATGGAGGGGAGGAGAGGGGGAAGAGAGCAAGTCTTGTTCTTTCATGTTGTTCATTTTTACTGTCAGGATTCACATCTATTCCTAGCGGCACCTCAAGACCTGAGGAAGAGGGGAACCATGCCATAAATATGGAATACAATAATTTACACAAGGTCGTGCCAGACAGGACTGGGTAAGGTAGCAGCAAACCTTTTAGGGCTGCAAAATCTTTTTCTTCTAGGCTTGAGCAAGGATTGGGCTAAAGGACTAAGAAGGAAGTACAAATATAGATGCTAAGGTGAAGAGGCCAACAGAACCAAACAGGATCCTTCCACAGCAGCAGAGAAGCAAAAGAAATTGTGTGTGTCTGAGTAATAAACAACCAGTGCAAAGCATTTAACAAGCATCAGACTCATGTTTGGGACTCAGGATTTCCTTTACTCATCTTCATGTTCATAACTTATAATAATTTCACGGCAATTTAAAATATGGTTGAAAGGAAGCATAAGGTAACGAATAATCATTAGTGCCAAATTAAGTAGGTTCTGTCTGTAAGTAAACCAAAAATAAATCATTTATTTCTGACTATAAAAGAAATTTCAAAACACAGCTATAATTTAAATATCTTTAGATTTGAAACATAAAAAAAACCCCCAAATCTCAAATCCCAGTGATCATCAACTTTCAGTGTGTGAATTAGTCAACCTGAAGTCAACCCAATTACTCTCTTTCCAGTGTTGATTCTAATTCTTTCTGGAACAGAAACACTTTTCCTGTAATTCGGGTAAGCTTTTAGATCAATTTTTGTTCTTTTAGGTTGACTTTTTTGCATCTTTAATTGTTTAGTTTAGTAAGTAAGAGCATATAATTGCCATAGCTATGTCTATAGCTTTGCAATTTAAGGGCCAGAACATGCAAATTCTATCTTGAAATTAGTGCACATTTTAATCTTCTCATCTAAGGCCTTCAGTATATGATTGTACAGGTGTGCCCTGGCTTCTTAATAAAATGCTAATCCCTCTCAGTAAGCAAAGATTTGTTCAAAGAAGTAAAATTTAAAATGAAAATAAACTTTTTCTCACTACTATCATTAGATGGGATGGGTAAGAATATTGAGAGAGAACAAAGCAGCTACACATCACATTATAAGGTATTCTCATATTCCTGTGTTGACCATGTGGTGAAAAAGGCTTTTTATATATTTCTCTAGACACTCTCAAGGAAAAATTGTTATCTTCATCAGCAGAGGCAAAAGGAATCTCTCTCTCTCTCTCCCCTTTTGCCCAGATCTCATATTTCTGTGGTTGCTATAGAAAGCTATTACTGGAACTCATATCTAGTAAGTTTTCCTCTCCATCACCAAATAAGGCCTTAATACCCAGTATTCCAAGCTGTTTGTTTTAGATATTGTTCTCCAAGAGCTCCTTTTCCTTCTGTTTTTTTTTTTTAACCTGTAAAAGGGTCAAGGTTTTATTTTGTCTCCAGATACCTTCTAACTTCAAAGTTTCTGAATTTAATAAAATTCCTCCATTGTCAAGCAACAGCCACCAGGACATACAACAAATCACTCTTACTTGTTTCACTTTTGCTCTGTTGTGAAGCTGAGCAGCTCATGGTTCCTGCTGCAGTTGACAAGGAGCAGTTTTGGTGGCCTGACATTTTCAGGTGGACTGATTTCTTCAAGGTGGTAAGCCTTTTCCTCTTCCTTCCATAGCAGCAGGGGCTCTGCCAGCCTCTGCTGGGCCACTGGGAGCCAGGATGGGAGCAAGAATGGCAAATGGTGTGAACAGGAAGAGGTTTTTTGTTTTTTGTTTTTTTTTTAAACAAACAAACAACCAAAAAACCCCACCAGTAACAAAGCACAGAACTAAAGGTTTTTTCCATTTTCAGAAAAAAAAATAGCTAGGCAGAAGCCTTGCTTCTGAAAAGCAGATGTTACATGAGTGACAGAAAAAGGCTGAACTCTAAACTCTTGAGAGTGACTCTTGCAAAACATTCAGGACCCCTTTGTACGGGTGACTCATGAGGGTGGAGTTGTGACCAGGGCAGCAGAGCCCCTCCGAGGCTGATGGTGTGAAAGGATTATTCAGAAAAGCTCCTTCTCTGTCAGTGTCAAGTATGTGCCTCAGACAATGCAGAACTCGATGATGCATCATTTATGTTATTGTCCTATGAGGGTTATGAATTCCATAATGTAAAAAGCTCTGTGCGACACACATCTACTTTTTTCCAGTCCTCTTAGTGAAATTCAGGAAAAAAGATGTACTAAAAGCAGAAATGTTAGCTGAATTGCACCCCATCACAAGACTTTTGTATATCAAACAAAAGAAGACTCATACATCCAATTATGCAGAGTGAAATGCAATATTCAACTCAAAGACTATTTTTTTATCTTAATGCTTAAATGTTAAGGTGGATATAAAGATGACGTATAAATAAATGATAAAATGTTGATTACTTTGAAAGCTAATTTGAAATTTGTGTACTGTGCTGCCAACAGCAACAGTGACAGCGAGTGTCCTGAATTGGCCCAAGAGATGCAACTTAACGTAGAAGCATCATGAGAGGGTGGAGATTCACCTGATAAGAAGATGGGGGTAGGAGATGGGGTTCAAAGCATCAAAGTGATTCTGTCCAAAGGAAAATAAAGCCATTACACAACTTCTTACAATATTTGTGTGAGATTTCTAACACAGGAACAGTGAGGGAGAAAAATAACTCAAAATTGGACTGTAAAATCTGGCCTGGACTTGACAAATGCACACAAAAAACTATGACCTTCATTTTCCTGTGTTGAGTATTTCAATGTAGCATAAAATTATGTTTATCTGGTTCCCCACTCCCTGCCTCCATTTCTACCAAAAATGCACGTGCATGGTTGCATTCTCACATTTCACCATATGCACACTGATTCCCCAGCATATTTTAAGGTGCCCCAAATTGATATAGCAAGTGGCAGAGCATGGCTTTCATGGTCTGGCTTCAGAATTATAACTATTTCTCATGCATTGTGTGTTCAATGCACTTCAAAAGGCAGTTCCTACCCTGGTTCAGTTTTTATCTTCAGGTTGACATCATGTCTTCTTCAGTCTGTCCAGGTCCCTTGTTCAGGTGCTGGCCTTTATGGTTTCCTGGAGGCTCAGAATCCTCTCCCTGCCATCCAGCAGAATGAGTTTTGTTTTCCATAGCTGAAGGTAGTGCAAGCAGGACACAGCCAGACCTTCTTTCCACAGCCTATGGGCAGATCAGGTGTTATTGAGGGTTAACACACAGAGGAGTGGGATGTGAAAATGGCATCTCAATCTCTGTTTGCATTACAACCCTCTGCTGTTTGATTAAAAAATCAGGGTTAGTAATCTCTCTTGGGAATCTCCCTCACCTCTAAGGATATTGCAGTGCTCTGGAAGTCTACATGAATATTGGCTTGTGATGTACTTCTGGGGATATGGATAGCTGGTGAAGTGGGAAAGGCTTTTGTGCATTGCATGGAAAAGCCAGAGGAATAAACTGTCACAGCCTTTTCACAGAGCCACACAGGCACTGAAATCAGCTGCTCTTTGGAAAAGCTTGGGCAAATGGGAAATATCTGATCCAGAAAAGCATACTTTTCACTAGCTCTTCTCCTGAAGGAATTGGTAAATTGGGGCAATGAAAGGCAATGCCTGACAGTTTTAGCAGAAACCCATCATACAGTGAAAGAGCAGGACCTTACCCCAAAGGCATTGCCCTTTCCACATTCCCCCTTGAATGACCTTATCGCTGGCAGTCCAGCTCCATCTGTGCTCCAGCCTTAGCAGGATGGGTGTTTCCTATCAGTGCTCTCCAAAATTAGGAAGGCAATTTTACTTCTGCCTTGAATTGCCATAATTAAGATGCTTTTTGCATCTGATGCTCTGATGCCTTCCTGCGTGCCTTTCATCTGATGCCACTGCTCACATGGCCTGGACAGTCCTCCTGCTCCTTCCCGTGCCATGCACCACCCACCTCTGCTGCTGCTGGCTGCCTCCTGCACTGTGAGGGGACAGCACCATGTGCTCCATACCCAGGATATCTCCCCTCCCAAACTGGGGATGGATGGGTGGCCAGCCACAGGATGACAGACACACAGAAAGCAGCTCATGTGTGGGACGTAAGGGTGGGGAGAACAATGCCTGCCAAAATCCCTGAGATCTGGGTGTGCTCCTGCTGAGTTTGGTTGCTGGTCCAGATCCGCTCTCTCAGCTTCCTGGCTGCTCCACGTGCTCGCTTCCCCAGAGAATAAAGGTAGGGCTGTATTTTAGGAAGCTGAGATGAGTCCCCAACTTGGAGGTTTCACCTTGTGCTGCCTGACTCCTTAGAGAGGAGCATATGCTTCTCTCTGAGGTGAAAATAAGAAATGTGGGTCCCAGGAAATTGGATCATTGTTCTGAATGCCAGGACTGACATCCCACAGCCCTAGGAAGGAGGCCAGTGCATCTTTTGAATCTGAATTTCAGGCTCTGGGGAACCAGGATCGTGTTCAATAGATCTCATTCTCTATGTGCCAGACCAGATCATGCACTCTGAACATATCACTCAAGCTGCTGACAACAGGGTTCAGCCAGCTGAACCTGCACGATCCAACCCCGCCTGGTGTGGAAAGTCTGAGCTCAGGAAGCAGGCTGGGCTTTAACAGGAGGAAATCTCATATTTATTCATGATTTAATTAAGAGAGACCAGGCTTTTCAGTCTGTTTTGAATATACATGAAAACAAATACATAGATAAGGCTATCGCTCCTTTTATGAGCCCCATGCTTCTGAACAAAACAGCAATTTCAAATATTCTGGATAGTGAGATTTAATCCATCACTAGGGCCTGACCCTGGTTTTCCCATATAGGGATTTGGAGTGTGCTGCTACAGATTTGAATCCTGAACACCAAAGAAAAGACACATGAAAAGCAAAAATCTCTCACTGAATTTTGTTCCATCCTTGTTTGAACACAAACCTCCCTGTGATTTGGGTTTTATTCATTAAAATAAAGCACACAGAATAACTCTCACCTACTATTATTAATCATAAGAACTTGCTCAGGAAAACAAATATACTTGAGCTTTCAGAACAAATCAATTTGGAGAAAGAGAATATTTTGTCTGCCATGACAGGCCAGAAGAGGGTAAAAACAAACATCTCTGCAACTGCTGGTTTACAGCTGACTGTGCGATGGACTGCTGGTGATGTGTGATGCTATTTTTAAACAGCAATTGTTTAATCACTTCTGTTCCCATGGGCTGAGACTAAAAATGATGCCTCCAGAGCACTTTGTCTACAAGCAGGTAGAAATAATTTGATCACATCCTTTACGGCTGCAGAGGAGATGGAGCTTTATGAAGCATCAGCAACACATTTCACAAAGAATCTAAATATTGAGCAGGAGTGAGAGTGTGTTGATCATGACATATAAGTGGCATAATGTCACCAAATGGCCCACTATGAAACATATCACCCTCTCCAACAGAAAAGGGAAGAGCTTTGCTTAAAGCTGTGTATTTTTTCTGGCTTTTTTTTTCCCTTTTTTACACAGACTTAACTCTTGGGACTCATATCCCCACTTTCCATGAAAAGCATGAATTATACTGAAGGACACTGGTAACTGTATGAAAGCATTTTGAGTGTAGATATTTCTGGGATTGTTTATTGGACTTGCTGTTAGTTTGTTGTACTTCATAGCTCCATTATGAACTTTTCCCAGTGAAAGAAAGATTAAGCACCAATGGACTTTCCAGGAAGAGAGAATGACAATATCTCACCCAACACAATCTCAGCCACGGCCTCCTCCCAATTCTGAACAAAGACTGACTGTACCTCTACACCCGGATGTTTACAGCATATTTGTACCTTGTAACACAGAAACAATCCCTATTATAAATATTGAAGCAGTCCTCCTGGAAAAAAATATTCATTTCAGCAAACTGGAGCTATTCCCTCGTTCAAACCCTGGCGTAACTCTGTAAATCAGAAAATTATGCGAATGAGAAGATTGACCTAATAGACAGAGCAAACACTTAAACCTCCAGCACGGAGAGTAATAGCCCAGCTTCACAGATGTCAATGGGAATTTTACTATTGACTTCCATGGGGCCAGCATCTCACCCATATCTGCATAGATGATTAATAGCTCCCCTGCCTTTCAATATCCTCCCTGGCTAACAATAAATTATCTTTGCCAGTGATTACTTCTAAGATGTAGCTCATAAAAATCCCTGTGAAAAGCAAATAGTTTTGCCTTTGGGACAGACTATATTAAAGTAAGTATTGGATATTTTTGAGATCTTCCCCAGACGGATTGCCATAGGGCACTACAAGATCTTCCTGCTTTCATTTCAAATAATCCCAGCCACGTGTCCTGCTACAGCATTATCCTTGTAGATATTTTTTTTCAGAAAGAATGAATTAAGGTTTCTATCAAAGTGTGTTTAATATGAGAGATTGTTAAAAGTTTTTTTCTTATGTTTGCAGAGATACTTTTGTTTACTTTGAGAAAAGACCTAAGTACCATCCCTTGTAACTGCGTTTTTTTCTTTGTTTGTTTTGTGTTTTTTTTGCAGACATTTGTACCTCTTAAATATAGTGTTCAGAACAAGTTAATGTGAGGAATCTGCTAGTTTAAGTTTATTTTCTTCATCTGAAAGTGTGTATTCTTCTGCAAAGAAAAAGACAGAAAATAAGTAAATAAGGTCTGATTTTGAAAGTTGCAGGACCCCTTCATTCAATAATCCTCTTGTGAGCCAATGGTATTTAACACCTCTTTCCATCAGATAATTCATTTGCATTCTTGCTTCTGCTTTCCTTTTTTTTTTTTTTTAATATAATTTTAAAACTTGAATAAGCTTTTCAGATCAGCTGGAGAATGTTTCCCTCAGGACCACGAATCCCAACTGGCCCAGCTACCAGTGACTTTCTCTTCATTTCTTGGCTTTCCCTTTCTGTCTTCTGTTGCTCCCTGTATCATTTCCTCACTCTTCAATCCCCTGCATTCTCATTCAGAGGAAGGGCACCAGGTTACTGGTTTATACAAGGCTTCTCCATGTATTAGGACAAAATATAAATTCCAATATAAGACATGCAAGAGATGTCTTCTTGGCTTTGAAGTGATGCTGCAGAAATATCCTTGGGGACTCCTGGAGTGACTTCCACTTTCCTCATTGAGAAAATAATAATAATTTTCTGCTACCTTTTGTTTCTAATCACCTAGCTATTTATCCATGACGAAATTTCCTCTCTCATCCTGCTGCAAGTTTCCTTTCAGACATATATGACAGAATCCTTGAAAGCCCTTTGTAAAGGAGCAGGCAGATGCTGAATTGTGTCTCTCTTGCATGGCGAAGAGGAGCTGAGCCTAATTTTTCTACATGTGCAGAGAACTCTTGTTGCTATCTAGGGAAAAGGATAGAGAAGAAGAGGTTTATGTTCATATCCTCATTATTAGAGCTGAAAGTAAAGCCTTAGTCTCTCAGGCTAGGTCCCTCACACACACAGACAGCCACGTGTGTTTTGACATCATCTGCTTTCTTTTCCTGCTGTGCTGCATTGAAAAAAAATGTTGAAGCCCTTGAAGTATTTTTTCAGATGTAACTGGCATTGGATATTAGCTAATATCCAGAGCCCTTTCATTTCTGCATGAGTGCACAGCTTGCTCTGCTCCCCCTTTAGATGGGCAGGTAGCACACAGCCATGAAAGAGCTGCTCAGGTTATTGAAGTGAGTTCCCATCTTAACCAGGATCACCAAAACAAAGAGTTGGTTCAACATAAAGGTCTTCTGTCTCTCTACTCTTCTCCTTTCCCCCCACCAGCACTACATGTATCCTCATTCCAGGTAAAGAAGATTCAGAATTTGTCCTGTCCAGAGGAGGGGAATACCCCTCTTCTTTAGAGGAGACAGAGAGAGGGAAAAGGGAGCAAATCAGCCTTTTGAATCAGAATCCCATTTTTCAGAAGAATTCTTCTAAAAGTTCAAGCAGTGACTGTAAAACTGTTATCAGTCAAGATCTCTCTAGCAACTTGTTTAAGGAAACTTCTTCCAGACCTACTCAATGTGCACTGCAGAGCTTGGGCAGAGAAAGGGGCTGCTGAATGTCCCACTGCATCAGGCAGTGAGCTAAATTCTCTCCTGTGAGAGAAGGGTAAGAGCAGATGAGCTGGGCTTCACACTCAGGAGAGTCAAAGTCATTCCATGGGAGCAGTTACTCGGCAGTTTTAGGTCAGGGATTAAATTCAGAGTACAGAGCCATGTTATTCTGATTTGTGCACTTGCACTGGTAACAGATCTACCTGCTTCTGTTACAAGGAAGAGATAAATAAAGATGAATGTGATCTTTGTTTAGACGTTGAATTTGGATTTTCCCTCTGCATCGTTCACTGTAGTTTCTCATTTGCAGCTCTCCCTCTCCTCCATGTAGCAATTTCTGTGTTTCATTGTTATTCCATCTGCAGACATGAGAGTGAATGCTGTGATTCCCTAACAGCATTAGCTAGATAAGCCTGGGGAAATTAACCCCTCAGAGAGTTTATGTTCCATTCTGAATCACCTTCTAACATATTATTCAATGATTGCATTCACTAAACTTTTTTTTTTTAATCCCACTTAATTTTTTTTTTCTCAGTAGTCTCTTTTGCCTGTTCTACCACTTTCCTTCTTCATGCTCCTTAAGTGCATTTGTGCAGACATGAGATGCTCCAAAGGTGGGTGGGTATGTGACAAGGAGGTATCTGACCCTGCCATGGTCGTATGTGCAAAGTTTCTTTATCTACAAAATGTGAGGTTTGCTTTAACATCAACCACAGATAAAAGGAGAATATATTTTAGAGTCAATTATAAAAAGAGAGAATATTTACAGAAGTTTAAAAGTCCTACTTTTTAAGAATTCATCATAAGTAGCTTGGGTCTTTTAATTTTCAAATAGAATTTATGAATTTATATAAATTATCTTATTTTGGGAACTATACCATTTCAAATTACAGTATGCTTTTGTAGTTTTTATTCCCATAAAAATTTGAATTAGAAAAGTAACTGTTATGCTTCTTGAAATATGCTATATCTATTATTTTTTCATTTTGATTGGCCAGATTGAAATAAATTGTGTTTAGAATTATCTGAAGCCTTAACCCAACTAAACAGACTATTCAAAAAATAAAATACAATGTAAATAGTGACTGGCACTACAGACGTGGAAACCACTGTAATGTTCCTTTGTGATCTATAATTTTATTACGGGGGGAGGGGCGGGGGGAGACGACTTCGATTTTAAGACTTTACATTCCTTTTCCCCCAAAACTGAAAGATTTTTGGGTTTGAGCCTAGTTCGAAGTGATGATTTGAGCAGTAGCCTATGGGGGGCACTCAAGGACTGCAAACAGATCCCGCTCCTCCCAAACTTCTCAGATCGTCTGCGCCGGGATGGGGCAGACCCTGGGGCACATTTTCACTTTACCTTTTATAAAAGGAACAAAAGTGAGGAAAATAAACTAAACTATTTTTTTTTTTTTTTTTTTGTCGCAGCCTCACTATTCCCCGATGAAAGACAAAATTATATTAAAAGGTGCATTTAAATGACATTCAGAGCATGATTATGCTAAAAGCATAAGAGCATCGTGCAGATTGTGGAGCTTCTCTGCATTTTTAAATTCTAAACAAGGTACCTTTTACATGATGCTTCAATAGTAGAGACAATTACTGTTCGCCTACCGAGTTTTTGGGATTGTTTTAAACTTTAATGATATTTGCATGCTCTATTCTTGGCTTTATGGAGTGAAACAATTATTTATGTAAATAGTTTTTTTTTCCAGGAAGGAAAATTTTGCCTACTGTTGTAGTGGTGGCTGTTTGCCACAGCAGTCATTTGGACTGCAACCGTAAAGCCTTTATCTGATGGCAAAAATCTTGTACCAGATGTTCTTTTATTTGATCTGCTTTATGATTAATCAGATTTAGCCCAAAACCAGAATGAAAACCCTGCTCTGGCACCTGGCTGCCGTCACACAATAATTTGCTTTGTAGTCGGGGGGAGGCTCGTTTAGCCTTTGAAACGCTGTGGTGCAGACTCATAAGTTTTCATTCTGATACATTTTGGAGGAAGAGAGTAAAAAGTCACTATAATAGCTGTCAGCAGGATAATTTTCCAAACATCTCAGACTGGTAAATAGCACTAATTTCTCCTAGAGGGAAAGTTAAAGGAAGTTTGGATGGGAAACAGTTACACAGAGAAGCTCTCATGCCTGGCCAGGCAGTGCTGATGCCATTGCAGTAGGGGTGGGACAGAGCCTGGGCTGATGCACCACCAGCCACGGGACTAAACCTCATCCAAATAGTAAAATTCCATTTCTCTGTAGAAAAATATTGTGCCAGAAGGAAAGCGTTCATACAGGCTCCTTCAGTAATGCAAGTGTCTAACGTTTATTGAGAAGGGAAAATGTAATAAGTTTATAAGGCTGCTGAATTGTGGAGGTATGTTTGGAGTGAAAAGGGAGGGCTCTTCCCTTAGGAAAATCATCTAAAATACAAATGTGAAACATCATCACTGTTTTGCTTCAAGCTGTAATACTTTTGGCATGAAGAGCCAATGTACAACAGAGAGGGGCAACTGTAATTTTTTTTTTTAAGAATAAATACATTAGCTATAGTTGATTTTATTGCATAAGGAGAAATGGTTCATGTGTTTCCTGGGCATGACAAAAAACTCTGAGCTCCCCAGGTTTGTCAAGAGTCACCTTATTTCTGTGGTATATCATCTTTTCTTCTTATGCTACATGACTGGGAACACACAATTGATATTTGTCAAATACCATCCATTTACAATACAAGTATCTCTAATTTCAGCACCACCAGGTATCAGTCTTAAAAAAAAAAAAACAAAACACCTTTTTTTAGATATTCCTTCTGTGCTTCTGGCAAATGGCAAATAGATGATCCTTGAGAGCAGTAAGATATGGGAACATAATAGGAGATTGTGGAAATGGATAATGACTTCTGCCAATGACATCATGCATTATGCATTATTATTATTTTAATCATTTGCTATCACTAAGGAAGATCCTAGTAAGTTATTCCTGGTGCCATGTTTAGGAAAATAAAAGACGTAGATAAAGTTGTACACTTTACTTCACAACACTTGCACAATGAAATTGAAAATTTCATAAATAAGTTGCATTAAGACCTAATTTAAAAAGGAAAATAAAAAGAAAAAAGGATGAGTTCTCTTCTTTGGCAATTTTCATGTGGGTTTTTGAATAGGTCTTGTGTGAATGCCATAAATGATGGAGTTAATCCTAAATTGCTAATGGTAGGACTGGTCTCTGCTATCCCTTGGTCCTACTGGAGAGGCACTTAGTTGTTCAAATCTCAACAATTTCAGTAACTGGACCTTCAGGACTAAAGATGTAGAACAAAATCATGATTAAGCACATGCTTAACATGGATATTTGGGAGATGAACTTTGGTTATCCACCGTCTCAGAAAACTACATTATATTAAACAAAGGTAATTTTATTGTGCTATTCAGAGCCATGTAGTATATTTATTTTGGGATAAACTGGTAAAGAAAGTACTTTGAACTGACTAATATGCCACATGGTCAGGTCACAAATTTTACTATGAGAGTTTGAAACAGGTGGAACCAGATATTTTTCTCTTTTTTTCTACTTTTCATACTTTTTCTGAGCAGTGATTGTGAATATTTTGTTTTTTGGAGTTTCTATTCCACTCACTGGAAATAAATTTAATTTCTCCCTGCATGTGAGTGCAGCACCTCTGAGTACAGCAGGATGGTGGGTAAGGAATTTCGCCTGGTTTATGTAAACTTCTTAATTTCTTAGATAATAGAATGATTTAGAACTTTCTTTTGAAAGTGTGTGTGTGTGCCAAAATTGTCCTTTAAACAGACTGGAAAGGTAATGAGTTCTTTTCTGTTCTAATAACTTTTATGAGGCTATTTTTATGAGAACCAAACCTCGCAATCAGCATTAAGATTTCCCATTTATGCCTTCGCTAAAGCATGTCCAGTTAACTGCAAAATGTCACTTGTCCTGAGCAGATGTCTGGGTACCACAAGCTGGTGTTGAGCTGCCCTTTAGCAGAGCTGCATCAGTTCATTGCATTTCCCCTGGTGTGGGCCAGCACCACGTCTCGAAAGTTTTGTAAGGAAAAAAACACAGAATTTCTTTACAATGGCTGGAAGATGGAATTTAGTGCGGATCAAGGTCATGGTTTCCAGGTTTGGGACTTTATGTTTTGCTTTGTGTCCCATTTATTATTGCACTACTGAAGCAGGGTCTTCACACTGATCTGTTTTTATGTGGCTTTTAATACCTCCCAATTTATGTATTAAAGCCACACCAAATCATCTGGAATGCCAGGCAGCAATTTCCACCCATGACACTTGGTATGCAAATATCCACATTGCAGCTCATACATGGAGAACTTTTACTGCAGCTGTTGGAGATGCACATTCAGAAAGTATTTAATAATGAAACCAACGTTGCACTGCAGTAATGAAAAATTCCTTCAGGGATGTTTTCTCCACCAGGGATAGCGTGTAATGCAACCCTCTGAATTCAGATAGGGTGGGTTTTTTTTTGTTCTGTTTTTAATCTTTAGTCTTTCTTCTCTTCTCGATCCTCTCAAATACTTTCTCCCTTCTTTCTTTCTGCTCCTGTGTCAGCTGCTGCCTGGCAACTTTTCTCTGTGTGGTGGGACGGGGCAGGGCACCCGACCGCCTTTGGTCTGGCTGCCAGCACCATCCCCTAGCAACCAGGCCAGGCACTGTGATGCTCTGCAAAGGGCTGCACACCAGCCAGCAACCTTTGTCCCCACTGTCCCCGCCACACCAGGCACTGGGGGAGTCACTGCTGCCACCATCCCTGCCGACCCACACAACCACTCGAAGGCTGTGGCGGATACACAATAAACATGAGCACAACCCAGGTCTCAGTGATGCAGTCCGGGCGTTTTCATGCTGACTAATGCCAGAATTACCTTCTGGCGATAATTAATATTCCTCTGTTGTATTATACCGGCAAGTATGAATGATTGGTTCTACTTTGTTTAATTTATCTAAATAAGAGATTTCATAATATTCTATAGCTTGATGAATTAATTTATTTAACTTGTCAGTGTTAATAACTCTGATTAGGAGGTAGATGTTATAAAGTACTGGAAGTGCGAACAGATCTCTAACAGCAGTTTTAACTTTGAATTTACTTCTGACAAGTATTTCAGTCTAGTCTCCTGTGCAATTAACTTCTTTTTTTTGGCTGTAGCAAGAAAAAGAGATTCCCTGGATTTTTTTCTGTAGCTCTCCACTGTATCCACTCTCTGTGCAACTCCCCAGTGCTTCTGATTTGGATTTTTCAAGTGGGACTGAGTGAAGACTTCAATAAATATTTGACAAGCCAGACTGGTTCCTGGGCTGTGTACCTGCACTGGTCCTGTGTGTCTCGACATTCAGACACCACACAGAAATCTGAACACAGCTGTGTGCATTCAAACAGCAACAGGGAGGCTGGGAATGCACAGACTGCTTCCAGCTAAAATTGCCATTCCCTTTTTTTCCTCAAGTCTGAGGCTAAAAAGCCTGTCATACAGCAGGTGATGGCTTGAAGCATCTAAATTATAATACATGTATAAATACTGCCTTGGACTATGATCATTTCAGCAAACTTTTCAGCAAACTTTTTTTTTTTTATTCATAGAATATATGCATTAGAATATATGCATTAAAACTTTCATACACTTCTTGGTGCAGCCTTTTTTTGGATGTGGAAAGGAGAGACGAGAGTTGAGTTACTTCTATGTATTTTTACTGTACTGTTGAGGTCATCCTATTCCATCAGAGACACACCATCCTTCCAACATTTCATAGCAATTGATGTTTAATGGAAATGAGGCTGAGGGGAATGATTTATCAAAGGTCAGCTTTTATTTCTTCAACAGCCTGTATTTTAAATGCGAGACTTCTATAAGAATTCTCGCCTCATGGTGTTATCTTAAAGCAAGTTACATTTTTAGGCAATTTGGAAAATAATTACTTATCAGTAATTGCATTTTAAGTTGTAATTCACACCGAATACTGCATATCGACACTTTATGTCCTGCAAACAAGGGGGCCACTGACTTTTATTATAAATATCATTTAAATATTTTAATAAGCTTATGTGCATATATGATCAGCAGTATTGAAAGCAAGATCAATCAGTTCTTCAAAGTGTCTCATAAATGCTAATGTTTAAAATGGGCACTAAATGGCACTGTATCATTAAAGGAAATTATTCATGGAGAGTAGAGAGGACTGTTGTTAAATAAGTATGGAATAAGAATGAAAAGGAGCAAATTAGATGGCTGAAAAGTAGGACTTTAGCTGAGGTGCTTTTGTGAGGAGGCACGAAAGGGCAGCACGCCAATTAACAGATAGCTTTTGGGGGAAAAGCATCACCACTTGCAACCCTGCAGAGTTTGAAAATTTTGCAGAAAATTTTGTGAGAAGGCAAGAAGAAAGAAGACTATTCTGCAAAGATAGTTCCACATCTTGAGAATGCTGGGACACCATGTTTGCTGTGAATATGTGTGTCTTTATACCATGTGACAGTCCTGGCACAGGAACATGTCACTGATTTAATGAGGAGTTCCTTAAAACTTGGAATTCCCTTATTTTCCTTCACACATTTTTCTCACTTTGCTCCAGCGTCTACAGATTTTTGTATTTGAAATGCAATAGGTTGCTCAAATAAAGCCACAATTAACGCCTAAGAGCCGTATA